GTCATGCATGAAATGAGTTCCAAATCAACAACAATGAACCAATTCATGATTTGAATCACTAGAGGCTCAAGAATCTTACATGAATGAGCTTAAACACAACAAAGAGGGGTTGAATTCCTTACCTAGAGCTTTAGTTACAAGGAGAGGAAGCTAAATTTGCAACCTATGTTCCAATTCCTTCAATTTCCAAGCAATTCACAAGGTAGAACTCAATTCCTCTCCCTTTCCCTCTCTTGGTCGGTTAAGCTCAAGAAATGAGCTGATGAAATTCTCTGATTGAAGTGTATACAAGGCTCAAGTGTGTGTATTTGAGTGGACCACTAAGGGTGGCAATTCGGTAATTAAGTCCAACTCTTTAATTAGCTTATTTTAATCTAATTTAATCGTACCTAATCAATTTTCAGATAATTGTACTATAAAATCACATAAATTATGATGATCATTAACCATCAATCGATTCCGGATTCGGCCGCCGATAAGGCCTTCAATTAGCAGTCTAAACACTAAAATACGAACAGATCAAATAAACAATCAACAGATAGAATGCAGTTCAAACAGATGTATTCATTCAATTCAGTTTCAATTTCGGTCAGTCAGTTCAGTACTTTAGTCAGTTCAATTATCGGTTAAAATCAATTCAATTTAACGGTAATCGATGGTTATCGGTAATCGAGCAGTCATTAATCAGTAAACAGTATGGGGGTTGTTACAAAAGGACAGAGTCAAGATATGTACCAAAAGAGCCGATTGCGTGGCCAACGCAATTGCAACCAGATTCGGCTCTGCCCGAAAAGTCGCCTTATCAGCAGGCAGTGAAACGGACATCGCCAAACTAAGTGCAACAACTGGATCTTTGATTACCGAAGCATCGGAGAAGATCGGCGTATTTTTCATCTTTGGCTGAATAACAAAAGGTACAATCACATCCAATTCCTCCAAGCGAGGCCGTTTGTCGGCGCGATCTTCTTTTGAGCCGGCCTCGACATCGACAGGGCGCTTCTCCACCCTTTTCTCAGCTTCTACACTGGCCTGCACCAAGGGTTCCGTTTCGGTGCTTCCTCCTTTTGCCGTCACTTCCTCAATAACAGGCACGAAGGACTGAGATTGAGACTGAGATTCGGCAGCCTGAATCTCCTTCGCCCTCCGCTGTGCAGCTAGCCTTTCCGCGTTCTCTTTCTTGGCAAGCTTAGTGAGGCTCGGCCCAGCCACATCTTCTGGGTACGCGTCGGGAAGATCCTTCAGACCCTGAAAAATATCGTCAAGTGGACGGTCCTCTCGACCCGAAGTGGACGGATTATTAGCTGAATTGAGGCTGGCTTTTTCAAATGCTAATTTCAAAGCCTCGTCAACCTCTGTTTCAGCTTCGTCTGATTCGGCGGCCTTAGCTACTTCCGGTCGCTCATAATCTGATTCCTCGCAGCCGACTTGCCTCAAATTTTTGAAGTCAGTCAAGATACGGGCGACAAGAAACTCCTTACCGATCGGAATTGGGATATTTTCCGCCCCCGAAAAGGTCGTATAAGTCGGCTCGTAGCGAAGCAGAACGTGGGCCGCCCTCCCCTTCTTCTGAAGACTCCGTTGGCCGAAGTACTTGAACGTAGTCTTGATTTCTGAAAGGATGGCATCGTCAGTTGAGGTCAAGATTTTCTTCAAATCGTTCCCTGCAAAAGCAAAATCATAAGGCCCCAAAAAACAAAGCAAAGAAAGAGAGAACTTACAAGTGGCGAAAGAGGTAGAGAAGAGTAGGAGGTCGCAGAGGTAGTTCGAAAGGTAATCCAGCGACGGGCGTCTAAAAGCGTATACCTATTTGAAAAGATGTCGAAATTTTAAATCACAATAAATGAGAGTGTACGTAGAGGCAGGAAGTTGAAATGATAACCTAGAAGCGTGTGGACAGACATTCGCGTTGGAATAGGATCAACTGCTGAATTTCGGCTCTGACCCTTCGAGTTCAAAGCCAAACACTCCAGCCAACTGCCGCTAGAGGAGTGCTTGGGGGGCAATTGTGAGGGCCGAATATTGGAAGTCGTAGAGATTCCGGAGAGTCGAACATTGAAGAATCAAGATTCTAAACATTCGGCCATTGCCACGAAAACTCGGACCCAACCTTATTCGGCTAGATAGTCGATTAAGCAAGGGGCCGAGTGAAGATCGGTTTATTACAAAATATGCCGAATAGGTACTAAGCTGTGGAGCCGGGTAAATATAAACATAATGAGTGAAAAGTGGACCTGGCCCCGAGGCCCAGAGAATGAGTATAAATAAAGGAATAGCAGACTGAGAAAGGTATGTGATAATTGTGGTGTTTAACTTAGAATACAAGTAATCTAGAACGAGAGACTGACTTGTCCGTCGGAGTGCTAATTCCGCCACCCCGACCGGAGTGTTTACTTCCTTTCAAGTGCCTATCGGTGGATCACGAGCGTCTCCCAGGATCAAAAGAGTATTTCCAAAAACCACACCCCCCATATATATATATATATATATATTTCAATTACTTGTTTAAACTCTTAATCAGTAGTGATTCCACAATTATGTCATTTAGTCCATTGGTTAATAATTTCTTAAAAAATGCTTATTGTTAAAGTCCCAATAAAAAAGGCCTCGCAAAGTCTCTAGTCGTTACTGCTCGTAATTCAAGTTATTTTAGCAATTTAGAAGGCGAGGCAAGTGCAAACGACCTTAGAGAGCATCTCCACTCAAAATTTTAAAATTTGGTGTTAAACTCACAAAATCTCTAGTCGTTACTGCTCATAATTCAAGTTATTTTAGCAATTTAGAAGGCGAGGCAAGTGCAAACGACCTTAGAGAGCATCTCCACTCAAAATTTTAAAATTTGGTGTTAAACTTTTTTGAATATTAAGTAAATTAGTATAGACCAATTTGACATAAAAACTCCCTTTTTGATATGTCAAATATATTATTCTATTATTTTTTAAAAATAATATTATTTTATTGAGTGGACTCAAAATTTGACATCAACATGAAACATGTTAAATTTGACATGTTAAATTCATGCTAAATGCCAACTCAGTATTTGACATATCGGGTGGAGTTAATGCTTGATGCCAAAATGATGCAACGCAAAACGCAAAATAATAACAATCTTAGAACCCGTTGATTCAAACAATAATACCGAAAGCAAGATTCCTCTCTAAATTTGTTGATTCACAAAGAATACCGAAAATAAAGGCTCAACAATGGTTGATTTACAACGAATATCCAAAGTTAGAATAAAGAGTATAAAACTCAAAATATATTAATTCTCAAAAACTAAAGAGCTTTAAGGCTTTTATTCATTATTTGTAAGTAAAGACAGACCTAACTTAACTAGGAAACAATTGCAATTGGCAAAAATCATAATGCAACACAGAAATAAAAAAATATAATGAAAATTATCAAAAATAGAAATATTGCAATAAAATAAAGAAACTACTAATATATGCTTCTACAATCATGACAAATTTTTCAGAATCGGATTTTGAGACTTATGCTAGGAATAATTGAAGTTTTAAATCTTTTCAAAAACAATTTGTGAAATTAACCACCCAAACGATTGAATTTGCCCAAAATCCACTGAGATTATGGATTCTTCTTAAAATTATGTTTTCCATTAACCTATCAAATTTCACGTGATTTCGCATCCGACCTTTTTTTACCTTTACCTTGCCTATCCCTTTGATCAAAAAATTATATAGCCATGCATGCTACATCATCTTCCCCTAGGTGGAGAGAATTCGCCCTCAAATTCGTAGCCTCTTCGTTGGAATTGTTACCTTAATATGGAATGAGGTGTTTGGTTTTTTTGATTTTTTTTTTGGTTTTTATTAACCTTGGTTTTGATTGATTTTTTAAAAGTTAATTTTTTTAATTTTTGTATTTTTTTAGTAATTTTTTTAATATTTAAAATAATTTTTTATTTTCTAAATATACATAACTTAGATGCGCCTAAAAACTAAAATATTTGTAAAAAAATCTTTAACAAATTCATCAAACACAAAAAATACAAAAAAAATATCAATATTCAATATATTTTCATATTTTTGTTTATTTATTGAATTTTTTAAATATTTTTTTACAAATATTTTAGTTTTTAGGCGCATCTAAGTTATGTATATTTAGAAAATAAAAAATTACTTAAAATATTAAAAAAATCACTAAAAAAATACAAAAAATAAAAAATTTAACTTTTAAAAAATCAATCAAAACCAAGGTTAATAAAAGCCAAAAAAAAAAAAAAATCAAAAAACCAAAAAAAAAAATTATCAACATCTCATACTTTTATTTTTTATTTTTTATGCGATGTTAAAAGACCCCAAAAAAATATATTAAAATAAAAATTTGATAGTATTTAATCCTAGAGAGGCATATGTTCTCCTCAAATGTTAACCTAGATTTATTAAATAGTTTTTAATTTGCCCCTTTAGAATTTATTTATTTATTATTCATTGTCCAGTCGCATAACTCTCACTTCTTGCTTACCTCTGAAGACACAGATCAAAGTAGTATCTAATCCAAACCTTGTTCTCTCACGACTCGGGCGCGAGCTTTTGACAGTCCTACACTCTTCGCCGCTCTCTCTCTATAGGTCCCTTTGTCTCCTGCTGATTCGAAACTTCGTCTTTCAGATCCACGTATAGGGTTTCTCTCTCTCTCTCTCTCTCTCTCTCTCTACAAGCACGAAAAATGCACGGTCGTCCTCGCAAAGCCCCCACTCCAGAAGAAGAAAAAGCTTTAGCTCTCAAAGCTGCTAAACTACGCCCCCTCCAATCTCAGTTCCTCCATTTTCATCACAACAAAATGTAAATCCTCTCTCTCTCTCTCTCTCTCTTTGTTTATATGTATGTATCTATCTATGCTTCGAATTGTATTGTATTGTATTGAACTCTGTCATCTAAACGGTGATAATTTTGAAGAATATTCGATTTGTATTGTCAATTGTGTATTGTTCAAATTTGACACACGAGTGTAAAATTATGTATTCGAATTGTGTTGTTTTGAACTCTATGACGCTGATATTTTTTATTTTTATCAAGCTTCAATTTGTATTGTCAGTTGTGTGAATTGTTCCGTTACGCGAAAGATTGTTCAGATTTTATACACGAGAGTAAAGTTATTTATTCGAATTGTATTGTATTGCACTATGTGATCTAAACACTGATAATTTTGAACTGTGTGATGTAAACGCTGATAATTTTGAACAATCTTCAATTTGTATTGTCAATTGCGTGAATTGTTCAGTTAAAATTATTTGTTCGAATTGTATGCTGATAGTTTTGAACAATCATGTATTTGTATGTGCAAATTGTTCAGTTACACAAAAGAAGCCCTAGAGGTCAATGCGAAGCTTCTCGAGGCCAATCCTGAGTATCTCACAGCTTGGAATTACAGAAAATTCGCTGTTGAACACATTCTCAGTCATTCTGAGACTGATACAGAGATTGATCCAGACTTCATTAAATCTATTTACAGTGAAGAACTGAGAGTTGTATGTTTGTCGGAACCGCTCATATGAAAAAAATATATCTATTTCTTTTCTGTCCATGTATTTGATGCCCTTTTGGTTGATGAAAAACTGTAGGAAATGAAAAAGAAATTCAGCTGAACACAAGTCTTGAAAGCTTCCAATGAATTTATGCATGCATAAATTTCAGCATCTATAGTGGATTTGATGGGACTGAATTTTCCACTAGCATAAGCACAAATTCGTTCTGTTGAATGAGGGTCTTTGAGTGCTTTCTTCCATTTGCATACTCCTCCCCATCCTTCCATGCAGCCATCGGTTTCAAGGATGATGACACATCCTTCAGGAGGAATTGATAGATTAGGCAAAGCTTGGATTTTCCTCTTAATTTCCCGGATTAGGTTCCAATCCTGAGAATTAAGCCTCTTCTCTCCCTTTGGGCTGACTTTGGAATATAGTGGGCTTAGCATCCGGCCCAAATCTTTAATGTAGCTGCGTGCATAGTTGAGTAAGCCCAACCAAGACCTTAAGCCCTTTGTCTCCTTCAGGGTTTCTTCCGAAAAGTTGGATACCTTGGTTATTATATGGGCTTGTAATTTGATTTCTCCCTTTCCAATTGTGGATCCCAGAAAATCCATTTGGACTGCTGCTATCTTCATCTTTGTTGGACTAAGAATTAGCCCATTCTTCTTGCAGACTTCAATCATTACATGGATATGTTTTGCATGGGTCTGTTCATCGGGTGAAAATACAAGGATATCATCAATGTATACGGCGATAAATTCTTCCGTTCCTTTGAAGCAGATGTCCATTTTTCTTTGAAACACAGCCGGGGCATTCTTTAGACCAAATGGCATGACTAGCCATTCATAGAGTCCCAAGGGTGTCCAAAAAGCTGTCCATTCGATTGAATCGGGGTGCATTGCAACTTGGTGAAATCCACTCTTTAAGTCGAACTTAGAGTAGATTTTGCTATGGCCAATCTTTGCCATAATTGTATTGATTCCGGGCAAGCTGTACTGATCCTTATGCGTATTATCATTGAGTCGCTTATAATTGCAAACCATACGCTCTTTTCCTCGCTTTTCCTCCTTTGTGATTGGATCAATATAAGTCCCTGAGTTGACAATAAAAGCAGTAGTTCGATGCCTGCTTTTGCTTGCACGAATAACCTTCAATTCCAGCAGCTGATCAATATGTTTCTTAAAGCTTTCTTTCATAGCTGGAGTAACATGCTTCATTGGCTTATCATCAATGATAAATTCTGAATTCTTCAGGTCCAATTTGCATGTAATTTGGTTCTTCGACCATTGCTTCATAGGATCTTCTCCAATAATTCCACAGTTCTGCAAGTGTTTTATCACCTTTGGATATTTGTCTTCAAATCTGGGAGCATGAGGATTATGCTCAATAGAGTGAAATATCCATTCTGCAGTAGGGTCATAGTAATGATCGATGAGGAAATCATCATCAATTTCAGCTTCCATGGTGTTGACAGATTGGCGCGTCTGGATAGTTATCACATTTTTGTAAAATGTGACATTGTCTCCTTCAATACGAACACCGCCATACATTGACCGTATGAAGTTACAGCCAATAATCATCTGTATACGACCACCTAGTCGAAATGGAAAGCTATATGTATAAGGGATTCGGAACCAGTTGTCTCCGATATACATTTTTCCTCCTCGAAGCTTTTTATTTGCCTTGGACTGTGAGTTAATCCCATTAAACTGCACAGTGTAAGTGTTTTCTTCTAGGGCCTCTGATGGAACGGATTCTGAATCCACGACACACGTGGTGGCTCCAGTATCAAGGATAGCATTGAGGACAACCTTCTTTTGTACGCCTGGAATTTCCAGTTCAACAGAAAGATTGTACAACATGTTCTTCTTCTTCTCCTTAACTTCTCCACTTGCAACTGTTTCCATCATCATGAGCTGTTCAGAGGCTTCTGCTTCTTCTTCTAAGGCTTCTAGTTCTTCAGCCTTGAATTTGCCTGTTTTTCGCAACTCCTTTTCATCCTTTTCCAATTGAATTTGGAGTTTCAGTTCTTCCAGCTCATTCTTATAATGTAGTGCCTCCTCCCTTAACCGCTTCATTTCGGCCTCACACCATCTTATGTACTCCTGTTGTTCTTGGAGTAAGGGCTTCTGGTTATATGGGATTGGCGCCTTGTGCATAGCAAATTTGGTGAAGCCAAAATAATAGGTAGAACATAATGCACAGGTTAAGGCATTACATTTTCCACAGAACGCCCTGGATTGGCCAGCCAAATTCCTTTTACAAGTTGTACACTCCGGTCTTCTATCGTGTGGTAGTGGATTTTGTTGATCCCAGTTATGTTGACAATGATAAATTTCAGTAGTGACCTTCACTTGTGCACGATAACTTCCTTCTTGTCCGAGCCAATACTTCTGGTCTGATTCTCGGAACATGTAGATTGTCTCAATAAGGCCTCCACCAATTTGCTCCGTATCGTCAATACCTTCGGAAACTGAATAAATAGCATCGGAATCTTCATCCCCTGGTTGAACAGAGATGACATCATAGTCGTCCGGTATTCCAAGATTTTCAAAGACTGCAACCCTCTTAACATTCTTCTTGTCTTTGGTACAGTCACGAGCATAGTGGCCTTCTTCACCGCAAAGATAACATTTACAATGTTTTGACTTTTGCAAATATTTCCTTTTATCAATTCGGACATGGGAAGAATGTGGCTTGCCTTTATACGTTGTTGCCTTCCGGATGCCATACTTCCTTTCTGGCTCTTTATAGTAACCTGGAATTGGAATCTCTTTACAAAACTCCAGATTTCTGAGGGATTTCTGGAAAGCAGCATTCTTACATTCAGTCTCAAGATACTTGTATGCAAAAAGTATCCTAGGAGCAACGCCAATTACGTTTCCTGCATGTCGTTCTTGGTATGCCTTCTTGATTCGTTCACCAAGATCTCCCGGCATTTTTGACCATAGTTTTTCCGACAGTTCTTCTCCCACGAACAAACGCCCTGATCTTGTAGCAAGATGTAAATAATCATTTAAAAACTTGATTATATCTTTGACATCTCTACAAGATAGTCGTTCCAGATCTCTGTAGGCTTCTTCCTGCATCAGTGTCGAGCCCTGGTATGGATCTTCCAATGTGAAAACAGTTCGCATTTGCGAGAGAATATTCTGTGTTCCTTCATTACCCTCTCCCATGGTAATAAGGTTATTGAACTCTGTATCATACTTCATCCGCCACTGAGTCCAAATTAATTTCTCCGTTTCACCAAGCATATTTTCGATGTACTGGAGCTTATCCCTTACATCCGTGAATCCTTGCATTGACACATGTGCCTTGGTGATAGATTCCCATCTCATAAATACTTCATCAAATCTACCCAGTTGATGAGGTAATATAAACATAGCCCCAGTTGAATGCATGGCTGATGGCAGATTCCACCATTCACTTTTATCATCCCTTCGGAAGTTTCTGAACCTGGACTGTCCTTCATATGTAGGTCTCTGGGGAATGTTAATTGTTCCTTGGCCAGTTGCTGGAGGATAACCTGGAGGACCCATCATCGTATCCTGCGGAGGATTGTAGTTTGAAACAGCAGATGTGGAAGAAAGGACATATTGAGGATCCTTCTTATGTTTCATTATAAGCTGTTCCAGTTTCTTCACCTGTGGGTATTCCGTTTCTCCTTCCTCCATCATGGCAATGATATTCAGGGTGGAGTTCGAATCAGAATCCGAATCCTTAGGCTCCGAAGCCATTCCTGAATGACCAAAACCGCTAGTGCCTCGTCCTGTTATGTCTAGGAATCCGTCTTGTTCTACCATTCTAGGCAATGCAACCTTTTCAAAAATGATCTGAGCAATTCGTTGGCCAGGTTGAATCTTAAACATCTTCAAATCAAAGTCAAAGAGTAGGACTTTAACTTCCCCACGATAATCGGGATCAATAACACCTGCACCCACATTCATTGGCTTATCATCAATGATAAATTCTGAATTCTTCAGGTCCAATTTGCATGTAATTTGGTTCTTCGACCATTGCTTCATAGGATCTTCTCCAATAATTCCACAGTTCTGCAAGTGTTTTATCACCTTTGGATATTTGTCTTCAAATCTGGGAGCATGAGGATTATGCTCAATAGAGTGAAATATCCATTCTGTAGTAGGGTCATAGTAATGATCGATGAGGAAATCATCATCAATTTCAGCTTCCATGGTGTTGACAGATTGGCGCGTCTGGATAGTTATCACATTTTTGTAAAATGTGTTTTCACATTGGAAGATCCATACCAGGGCTCGACACTGATGCAGGAAGAAGCCTACAGAGATCTGGAACGACTATCTAGTGTACTGCCGTGATACCTTCATATTCAATAAGGCATTTTTCTCGACAGTGTTTGTATGGACATGGAAAGTTCTGTCTTGCATGAGCCTGTCTTCGTCGCCTTTGTGCTTTGAAGTATAATTCATCATCGGCATCAGAAGTGTCTGAGATGATTGGCTGTTGTTCAGCTTCTTGTTGTGGCATTTGTTGCATTTGTTGCTGTTGCTGTTGCCGTTGTTGCTGAGCCAGTTGCTGGAGGATAACCTGGAGGACCCATCATCGTATCCTGTGGAGGATTATAGTTTGAAACAGCAGATGTGGAAGAAAGGACATATTGAGGATCCTTCCTATGTTTCTTTATAAGCTGCTCCAATTTCTTCACCTGTGGATATTCCGTTTCTTCTTCCTCCATCATGGCAATGGTTGGACTCAGAATTAGCCCATTTTTCTTGCAGACATCAATCATCACGTGGATATGCTTCTCATGAGTCTGTTCATTAGGTGAAAATACAAGAATATCATCAATGTAAACAGCGATGAATTCCTCCGTTCCTTTGAAGCAGACGTCCATTTTTCCTTAGGCTCCGAAGCCATTCCTGAATGACCAAAACCGCTAGTGCCTCGTCCTGTTATGTCTAGGAATCCGTCTTGTTCTACCATTCTAGGCAATGCAACCTTTTCAAAAATGATCTGAGCAATTCGTTGGCCAGGTTGAATCTTAAACATCTTCAAATCAAAGTTAAAGAGTAGGACTTTAACTTCCCCACGATAATCGGGATCAATAACACCTGCACCCACATGAATTCCATGTTGTAGTGCTAACCCGGATCGCGGTGCAATTCTTCCATACATGCCAAATGGAATTTGTAATGCTATTCCAGTAGGGATAAGACAACGATCTTGAGGCTGGATGAATATCTTAGCAGTTGAACTAAGATCATACCCAACAGCTCCATCCGTTGATCTTGAGGGCCCTTTTGCTTCTGGACATAGCCTCACAAAGTGTACTGCCGTGATACCTTCATATTCAATAAGGCCTTTTTCTCGACAGTGTTTGTATGGACATGGAAAGTTCTGTCTTGCATGAGCCTGTCTTCGTCGCCTTTGTGCATCGATCTTTCAACAACCATTGCTAACATCACTACTCCCATCGGATTCAAGACCCTTATCCGACAAAATAACACTATAATTGAATTGTGTGTTTGTGCTTTGAAGTATAATTCATCATCGGCATCAGAAGTGTCTGAGATGATTGGCTGTTGTTCAGCTTCTTGTTGTGGCATTTGTTGCATTTGTTGCTGTTGCTGTTGCCGTTGTTGCTGATTTTCCTCTTCTTGTTGCTGATTTTCCTCTTCTTCACCACCTTCCGTTAAAATATTGAGGGATTCAATATTTGGCGCAAAGGGGTTATCCCAAACGGGAGGGGTTGGATATTCAGTAAGAGTGTGAGCAGAGGGCTCATACTGAGGATCATATCCCAAGGGAACGTCATCATCATCATTGTCGTCCTCGTCTTCGGAAGTGGTAGGGAAATGATCAGGAAAATTATCAAACTTCACCCGTGTTGTTGAGAATAATGGTGCTCCAGGTGTTGCCGTAGTTGCTGGTGGTCGATCTGTTACCCTGGGAAGAGTTGTGGCATTTGTTGCTGTTGCTGTTGCCGTTGTTACCCGTGTTGTTGAAGTGGATGGTATATTGGTCTCCCATCCAGCGGCCAGAGTGTGCGATTCAGCTTCTCGTTGAACAGCACTGGTACTTTCATCATCAGAATCCATCACTTCATTATCGTTCTGATCATAGCGGACAGGGGGCATAGTTGGTGCTGCGTTATAGTTACCGAAACGGATGCTATATCTTCCTCCTGGTAAATTTCTGGTGACCGCCGTGGTTGGTTGTTGAGGTTGTACTTGTCTGACTGGAGGTTGAATAATCCAGTTCCTGCCTCGTAGTTCCTCAGTGGAAATTCTTTCTCCTGGGATTGCTCGTACGCCTCGAGAAGTGAGATATTCTGTAACACCTTGAATCTCATAGGCAAAGCCTACGTTTGGTGTATTCGATAGACGTCCAACCATTCCTCTGGTTATCAATAAATTGGCCTCTCCTCCTTGCCAATTTTCATAGCCACGTGTCTGCAGAACAATTTGGACATGATTAAAGAAATCTCCTATGGTCATCATAGTATTTGGTACTATGTAAACCATTTGAGCTCCGCGTGTCAAATCTACTTCCATAGAAGCAAAAGTGGCTTGATCTCCAGTCCACCGTGTATCTCGGAGTACTAAGACAGCCATATTTCCCTGTTCCGTTCTGTGCAAGACTTGTAAACGAACTTGGATAACTCCAAGATGAACATACTGCATATGGCTCCGTTGCAGTTCTTCAAAACTTTCAGGTTGTATAAATGGTCGCTCAATCTGTGTGTCTCCTACACAGAGTATTGCTTCCTCAGATCTATGAACATAGACCCTGTGATGAGCATCATCTCTTCTTGTACGATATAACACCTCGGCTGGTGCTATACTGGCTCTGTCTGCCATGGAAAGTTGAAGCTGTGTGTCTGGTGCAATCTGCTGCTCCAGAGTATTTGATGTAGAAGGTCTTCCTCGCACTCTTTGGGCTATATTTGCTGCTCCTCGTCGAAGAAGAAAATTCCTTCGTTGATCTCGCCGATATGTTCGAATTTGGTCTTCGAATAATGGTGCTCCAGGTGTTGCCGTAGTTGCTGGTGGTCGATCTGTTACCCTGGGAAGAGTAACTGTCTGTGTGCGTGATCTGGACGCCATTTAGATAGGCTTGAGTTTTAGCTTATCTAATTCGTCTTGCAGCAACTTGTTGGGATTCCTGTGAACTCTAAGCAACCCTCTTGGTTCCTTTGGTCGTTCTTTTGGTCCAAGTGACAGGTTCTCAAGCTTAGTGATTAGTGCTTCTGGAATCACTTCAGTTTTTGCTTTCTGAGCCTCCAAACTTCTAATTCGTGCTTCAAGTGCCTGCACCTGTTGTGACAACTGAACACACAATTCAATTATAGTGTTATTTTGTCGGATAAGGGTCTTGAATCCGATGGGAGTAGTGATGTTAGCAATGGTTGTTGAAAGACCGATGCCTGGTGCTTCTGTCAACTCTGATAACCTCAGGGCCTTTTGATAGACCAGATCGTCCTGAGTCATTCAATCAGCGCACCCTTGATTTGTTGAAGAAGTGCTTCAATTGGTTTTAGCTGAGCTTTGGTTGAACTGACAGTTCCTTCTTCAATGCAAACTTGAGTCAAGGAATTGATTCCCTTTTCAAGTTTTTCAACTTTCTTTGTCAGATGCTGAACACTACTTTCAAGAGATTGGATTTGTAACTGTTGACTTCTAAATTCCTTTAAATTTACTTTACTAGAGAGGCAAACTCTATCGTAAATTACAGCAATATTATGAGCTAGTTCTTTTGAAGATGGCTTAACAGTTGTGGAAAGATCAAGGTAGTTCAGGCGTGAAGTTTCTGATTTTTCATACCATTCCTTAATGTTTTGTTCCCATATATTTGTCATAATCTATATACTGGTCTGGGTAAAAATATATTAACTAGTCTGAGCTATTTAGAATTTCTAATTACCAGAAAGAAGCGCTATAATCTATATTTACAACTCAAGGTCCAAGTTGTTCTTACCAATTTAAGTCTTCATTCACCACAGGGTTTCACTGGACTTACTCCTCTCTGCCAGATATAGGGCCTGCGTCTTTTACTTAGCACTTAAATTTCAAGAATTAAACTGCCTTAAGAGTTATAAATACAGAAATCATGCTATACTTTCTTATAATATCGAAACATTCAATAACCTTTGCCTTGGTTAATATACGGTTACTTTTGCCCTGGCATACAGATGATACTTCAAATATACAGATAAAACAATTCAAGAAAGCATAATTAATCATTCACAACAGAGGCCTTACTACCCTGATAAGTGGTTTACGCTAAAGTAGCCATAACAAAACTAGCTCTGATGCCATTCTTCTTGCAGACTTCAATCATTACATGGATATGTTTTGCATGGGTCTGTTCATCGGGTGAAAATACAAGGATATCATCAATGTATACGGCGATAAATTCTTCCGTTCCTTTGAAGCAGATGTCCATTTTTCGTTGAAACACAGCCGGGGCATTCTTTAGACCAAATGGCATGACTAGCCATTCATAGAGTCCCAAGGGTGTCCAAAAAGCTGTCCATTCGATTGAATCGGGGTGCATTGCAACTTGGTGAAATCCACTCTTTAAGTCGAACTTAGAGTAGATTTTGCTATGGCCAATCTTTGCCATAATTGTATTGATTCCGGGCAAGCTGTACTGATCCTTATGCGTATTATCATTGAGTCGCTTATAATTGCAAACCATACGCTCTTTTCCTCGCTTTTCCTCCTTTGTGATTGGATCAATATAAGTCCCTGAGTTGACAATAAAAGCAGTAGTTCGATGCCTGCTTTTGCTTGCACGAATAACCTTCATAGTACCAAATACTATGATGACCATAGGAGATTTCTTTAATCAT